AAATTAGTGATATTTGCCAAAGCAAATAAAAATGGAAATGGAATTCAACAATGTTTTCTCCCTGCTTAAAAACTAAGACCTTGACTAGAAAGGATGGATTGTCCATATGCTGGATTATGTAAAGTAATTTACATGGAGATGCCTTTGAAGATTGTGAAGAAACTTAATTTAGCATAAATGACTCTCCTATTTTTCCTTAGGAACATAATGTATGTGTCATCAGTGCAGTTTATATGAACTACACTAATGGCACATTTCTCAGCAGAAGATATTAGTAATAACCTGTAAAGCTCTAAATGGGTTAGCAGCAGGTCATTTACATTCCTTTAACCAAGATTCCCATACATTTTACATTGTGAGAATTATAATTCCTTATTTTGTTTTTAGCAGCCACAGTAAACAATTGGCTTACTAAATCCTTCTTTTTAACATCTACTAATATCTGCATCTCACAGGAGAAGAGAAACTTTTTTTCTTTCACCTTGAAATTTTCCCATGCCATCACTCTGCTTAACAACTAATTCCTACAACACTGCCAAACTACTTAGTAAAGCTGTATTACTATGATACTCCTCATCTTTCCTATTACCTATCCTTATCTTCTTATGACTATAACTTTGCTGCTTGTATCTTACAATATATTGTTTTTATATGTTGTTTGCTTAGCTAGTACTCTATGACTATCACTGTTGCATCTTATGATTTATGATGAAGTGTTGTATTTCACGATTTATGATGAATGCATTTTCATGTTGTATATGATCATGATTATCACTATTACTTATATGTACACTGAGAGCTTATGCACCGAAAACAAATTCCTTGTGTGTCCAACCACACTTGGCCAATAAAGAATTCTATTCTATATCAAATTGAATTACTATAGTTGACCAGAGACATAGCAGAGGAAAACAGATACCCTCCCAAATGCATACACAGAATAACAGAATTGGAAGGGACCTTGAAGGTCTTCTAGTCGAACCACCTCAAGCAGAAGACCCTATACTATTTCAGACAAATGGTTGTCCAATCTCTTCTTAAAAACTTCCAGTGATGTAGCACCCACAACTTCTGAAGACAAACCGTTCCACTGATTGTTCTCACTCTCAGGACATTTCTCTTTATTTCTATGTTGGTTCTCTCCTTGATTAGTTTCTATCTATTGCTTCTTGTCCTGACTTCAGGTACTTTGCAGAATAGGTTGATCCCCTCTTCTTTGTGGCAGCCCTTTAGATATTGGAAGACTGCTATCATGTCACCCCTGGTCCTTCTTTTCATTAAACTGGACATATCCAATTCCTAAAACATTCTTTATATGTTTTAGCCTCCATTTGTGTTATTAGCCATACACAAATATATCTATGGCTAATAGGAATAAAGATGCTTCCCTGAACTATTTGTCTCCATGTAATCCGGTGGAGGAAAAGGTTTCCCAAGGCCTGAACCTGGAAATACTTCCCATCACCTGCCAAATGATCCTCTTGATGAAAGATACTGAAAATTAAATACGCATGCAACAAGGCTATGACCTCCTCGAGATTCCTTTGGACCAGGGGTAGTCAACCTTGGCTCTTTTATGACTCGTGGACTTCAATTCCCAGAATTCCTGAGCCAGCTTAGCTGGCTCAGGAATTCTGGGAGTTGAAGTCCACGAGTCATAAAAGAGCCAAGGTTGACTACCCCTGCTTTGGACAGTGTTTCTCAACCTTGGCAAGTCTAAGATGTATGGCATTCAACTTTCAGAATTCCCCAGCTAGCATGCTGGCTGGGGAATTCTGGGCAATGAAATCTACACATCTTAGAGCTGTTGACGTGGAGAAACACTGTTCTAGGGTATGCTTGGGAAAAAAAACTCAAGAAGAAAGCCACAAAAGTGTGATTGAAGTTCTGTCTCTTTTTATATGGGTCTTCTTTGATCACACCTTATAGACCTCCTGCATAACCTCCTAGCATCTCCATTGAATTATGATCTCTCCTTATAGCATGTTTTGCTGTCTTTTGGAATAAATATCCACTATCATCATCATCAACACTCAGTCTTCCATATTGGCACCCAAATTGTTTTCAAGTAAGATTGAAAAGATCAGTTGAAAAAAGAATTGGAAAGGAGTAAAATAATATAGCATATAGTAAAGAGAAAGAGAAGAATATTGAAGACATCCTTCCCACCCGCAGGACACTGGATAGGAATTTCTTTTTGTTGTTAAGTCAAGTCACTGAAATGTCTTGTTTTGTTATAACTGTAATGAAACCATGGTTTAAATTAAGTGAACAAGCCTGGAATAAGCACGAAATACCATGCTCCTCAGTACGTTCACTGCAATCTTCCCTCTCATTTTGGGGGAAATCAATTTTCTTTTATTTCCCCGCAGGACCATTAAACCATGGTTTATGATTCTGGTGTGTAGGGGAAGCATAAACTATATTTTCTGAAATATATCCCTTATGATACAAGTAGAGTATTAGCAGTTAGACTGTAAAAATACCTTCTTTTCCAATTAAGTTCTAGAACACATTTTTTCAATATTCACCAATAAGTAATCCATTACATTTAGTTTCCTTTGAAGAAGGTACAATATACTATATTTTTGGGGGGAGGGGGAACCTCTTGTTGAATAATTTTGACTATATTTTTTAAAAACTGTAGTCCCAGTAGGCCCTTGGAAATCTAAACAAAATAAAACAAAATGATATTTGCAGATGATGCCCCCCTGAATTGGGACCAATTGTCTTAGCCTCATGACTCATTACTAGCATAAAAGATGGGTATCCAAGACATTCATTTCTTTGTAACAGAGATGGCTGGAATTCATCAGAGTGATTGCATGCATTTTTTCTTTTCTTGACTTATATAATATATTTTACTACCATGCAAAATTTTTATTTTTTCCTTTTAAACAAGCCAATCTCAAACAAAGCACCGGTTCTTCCTTATTAAATACATGGAGAGGAAGCATGCAGTGAGCTGAGTTGTGCACAGCAGACAATTCCTTTGCGTGTGAAGACTGTGCTAATTCAAGCCTGTGTACTCTTAAGGAGAAAGGGTAAGAAAGCATAAACACAGCTGGCAAAAATTGTGGGGTGATGTTTCTGTGTGTAACTTTTTTTTTAAGTGGGGGGACTTTGTGTTAATATCACTGCATTCCTCACTGCATCTTGCTCAATAGGTTTCAACAGGATGCAAAGGGATGAGAGAAGCTCACAGAACATGTCAAGGCTGTCAGGAAAGTAAATTATATCTATTGCCTATTTTTTTCCCCCAATTTGATTTCCTGACAGGAGTTTCCAGGGCAACTGTGGACTTCAGTTTCAAGCTTTCCCAATGAAACTCAAGAATGCAATTTCAAAGATGTTGGAGGATTGGGGGGGGGGATTTTTACAGGTCAGCACGCCTATATCTGCTCTATTGGATCTTCAAGCTTGTTTCCTATTTTTCTTAAGCTATTATATACTCAGCAACAGGGTGAGGAAATTGTTCATGCAACCAAGGCAGCTTCTTAAGCAGTGTCCCTTTTAGAGAAAGCATAATTTCTGCTGTATAGCTTGGGATATTTTGCAATGTTACAAGGATACTGGGGCAAAACCTTGGCATAAACTCTAAAGCAGACTTGGGCATTTTACAGCCCTCAGGCCACATCCATTTGGCTGTCCCTTTCTTGCCTGAGTGTATTGCTTTTATTCCAAAGGCATCTGCTATTCTTTTTTCAATTTACATATGTCCATTTATGCAGTACCTTCAGAGTCCTATTAGTTTGGCCCTCCATAAAACTCCCAGTTTCTGATATGATCCACCCCTGCTCTAAAGGGAGAATTTTTTAACCGTAGAGACTTATCAGGGTCAGGATAGAACAGTGTTTTCAATCTTGTCAAGTTTAAGATGAGCGGACTTCAACTCCCAGAATTCCCCATGGTGGCTGAGAAATTCTGGGAATTGACATCCACATATCTTAAAGTTGCCAAGGCTGAAAAACATTGGGATAGAAGGAATGAGTGATAGAAATCATTCTCACTTATGTCAGCTCTAGGTGGCTAGATATACCATATATATCCATATATATATTTATTATTTGAGATTCTGGTGGGTTTTTTTAACCGATTATAAGTGCCATGTCTAAATGAAACCGATGCCATACCACAGAAAAGGCTTCAATAAGGAGAGTGATGTCGCAAATGTTTTTTTTTGTGTGTGTGTGAGGGAAAAAAGTGAAAACAAGCAAGATGTGAATGAAGTTTACATCATAACAGCGTATCTGCCATCTTGCCTGCCTTGAAAGACGACTCCATACCCCAACTGGGAAATGCTGCTGAGGAAACTCATTCACTTTAAAGATATTTTTGCTCTCAATTCTAGGCATGATGAATAACATTCAAAATAATATTTTAGAGCCTGAATGAGAAAGTTGTTATTGGATGGATAAAGCCTCAAGAACTGAGTGTTGAAAAGTTTAAAAATCAAAGCATTGTATGAATCAGTATTGTACATGGACATTATGGAAGCAAGATTGCAGACATAGAAAAATATGTGAGAAAATAAATGATAGTATAAACTAGTTTTCACTCTATTTCTCTTTCTATTTCTCTCTCTTTTTAATCTCATTACTTAATTTCTTCAGCTCACTATTTCTTACTCTTTTCTGTGCTTTACCTACTTTTGTTTACCCTAAAATAAATTAAGCTCATGCTGGGTATATATTTGGTTCCTGAATTTTATCCTTTATCTTTATCTTGTAAGAATTCTAGGAAGAATGCAGCAAAAAATGCATAAAACAAACAAATAACATGTTAGTAGAAAATTAATGTCAAAAGGAATGTATGCAATAGCAACAGGCTGTCATTCTACCTCCTTAATGCACCGCATTAGTTTGACTTAACAGTTTAGGAGGTGATTTGCATGACAACAATACAGTGAGCAGCACAATAGCATGACAATGTCCGCCCCGTGTCCTGAGCATGGCAAAAGAGGCGTGCATCTTCTTGACATAAACTAATTTCATACATACCCAGTAGAGTACATCTGTCCAGCCCTCCATGGTGATGCACTGAAACACAGTTAACATGGCAAAGGCAAAGTTGTCAAAGTTGGTAATGCCATGTTTGGGTCCCTCCCATATGGCCCTACACTCAGAGCCATTCTGACACTGCCGTCCATGTTGAGATATAGGAGCACAGGGAGCTGGTTCTTCTTCTGCAGGTGTATCTTAAACAGTGGAGAGAAAGATCAAACAATTAAAATGGTGCAATGAAGTGGTAAGGGAAAGAGTTATTGGGTTGCAAATGAAGACAAGGGATTTAAGCAGTGGTGGGATTCAGCCGGTTCGCACCACTTTGGCAGAACCGGTAGTTAATTTTTTGTTGCCCAGGCCCAGAATGGACTTTTGGAAGCGGCATCCACACAGAGAACCGGTTGTTCACATATTTGAATCCCACCACTGGATTTAAGTCACTGATTGTGTTGCACTGTGTGTCAAAACGCAAGACATATTAAAAATTGAGCATTATCGCTTATGCAAAGGAAAGGCAATTCTGCATTTGTAAATAGGCAAGTTGAGTTTTTTTTAGTGTAAAAGCACTCTTTAAAATTTTTTGACATGATTTTAAAAAAATCATTCATCTTTTTGCTTGACGGGGAATGCTGATGAAAACTAGACAAAGCTGTCGAGATACTCTTGGTAAGAATCTTGCCAAATTAGAAACAGGAACTGAAAATTCTTTTGTTCATTCTTGACAGAATTAAATATCATTTTTATTTTTATTTATTTATTTGTTGGAAAAATTACTTGTTTAGTAAATGGTTTGCTCAGGGGATGATCCCTAAATTCTCCTAATTTCTCTTCTGGCTATTGGGGATGAAATAATACTGTATAATGGGCATTTTGTTACCCTCTTTTTGGATATACTATGACAATATCTTCTCTAGGTAAAGGACTTCAAAACTATGATTGGAAAATCCTATGGCCTTTCCTATTATTACTACATACCCTTTCCTATTATTAAAAGCTACCGGTAAATATATCAGTCACTTCAATTGCACTTTTCTCCTCTTTTCCTCCTCCTCCTCCTCCTTCCTCTCCTTCTCCATCCTAAAATTCTCTGGATATTGGTGTTTTACGGACAAACAGCAATATGCTGACAGTGCCTGCTTTGATGTTGCACTCTGAATCCACATTCATGAAAATCTCTGCTTCAGTTTAAGTTGCTTCATGTCTCACACAACTATATGACTGCCACAAAGTCAATATGTTTTTTACTCCACCAACTGGGTCATTTGGGAAAAGGGAAAGGTCCGTGTGGAAGAAAATAGAGATATATAAGTCTGTGCGTAGTGTAAGGAAGTGGGCTGTTAAAAAAAGAAAATCCACATACATACCCCTCAGTTGCAATCCTTGCACAAAATACATAGAAGTTAAAGTTAAACAAGGCAGGTGCTTTTATGCCTCTAATTACAGTCCACCAAATTACAAACATCTCTCTAGACTACATAGAGTATATACAGGAAATGGTGACTGAAGGTGTCCACAGGGTATGATAAAAAAAAATCAAGACGGCAGCTGTGATGGTAGGATTGAGAATCCATCATATTTTATGTTCACATTTTATATGCAATGTGCATTAAAAAGAGGTGGAGTGTTGATCCCATCATCATAGTTATCAACTTGACTTTTTGGGACACCTTGGATTATTCTTATCACTTACTTATATTACTGCAATAAATTGCATGTGGGGCTGCCTTGGAAGACTACTTGGAGACTTCAGTTGGTCCAGAATGCAGCAGCCCCCTTATTGCTGAATAAGAGTTGCATAACAACCATATTGGATATGCTGCATTGGTGACTAATAGGTTACTTGTCGCAATTCAAAATATTGTTCTTAACTTATAAAGTCCTACATGGCTGGGATCCTGGGGACTGGCAGAACTGCCTTTCCCACATAGAACAAACCTTCTGACCCATCAGCATATCCCCCCCCCCCGGTTTCAGGAAGTGAGGAGGGCAAAGTTCTACAGACAATATTTTGTTTTTTTTGTTTTTTTTATAAAAAGTTTTTTATTAATAAAACAATTAAAACAAAAAAGGACATGACATGACATTCCAGTATATATAATCCTAACAATTCGTTCCTTATCATACTTAAAGTTCTATATATACATCTCTCTCTCTCTCTCTACATATATATATATGTAGAGGGACATATATATATATGACAAGGGACAAAAGACCACCGGATAACAGTAACGAGGATGGGAAAGAAACGGCCGAAAGTGGATTGGAGTGTGCGGGGGGCATAGTAGAATTATACAACAGAAGATTGGAAGGAGTATGTGCCCCCGAGAACGAAGGGAACCGGAACGTAAATAAGTGTGAAGGGATGATTGATTACAAGGATGAAAACAGAGTAGGAAAGGAGGCATCAGGAAAGGAAGTGAAGAATGTATTAGGGAATACCGTGGATGGATGGATAGAAGAGGGAACCGTGTCGAACTTAATGGGGAGGCCCGGAGAGGGAAAAACCTCCCGAGAGCCCGTTAAAAGGCACAGGAGGAAGAGCTCCCATATGGAAGGGGATAAAAGTCCACTGGATAGTAAGAACGAAGACGGAAAAGGAACCGTGGAAAGTAGATCGGAGCGGGGGGGGAAGGACGCATGCAACATCGCGGACAGATGGATAGAGGAGGAAATTGTGTTGAACTCAATGGGGAGACCCAGCGAGGGAAGACCCGCCCGAGAGCCCGTCAAAGAGCATAGGAGGAGGAGCCCCTATACGAAAGGGGATAAAAGATCACTAGGCAGTAAGAGCGAAGATGGGAAAGGAATGGTGAAAAATAGATCGGAGCAGGCGGGAGGCACAGGAGAATGGTATAACAGAAGATCGGAGGATGTAGGCACCCCCGAGAACGAAGGGAGTCGAGGGGCGTTAGAGCGAAGAAAGAAATGGAGCCGATGGATGGGTGAAGGATACTGCAGAGATATGAATAAGAGGGTGGAAGGAATGGAATACGAAAGGATTCCCAGAAGAGAGGATGATGGAATGGTAGTATTGGGGATGATAAGAGGGGAGTGGCCACAACAGAAGGATGGGTTGGATAAAGGGAAGTTGAGAGTAAGTAGAGACGGAGTGAATGTGGACGGTGAGAATGGGGAGGGGGTGTGGAACGGGCTTCAAAGGGAAGAGAAAAGAAATGCACGCATCACCAGCATTAGAGAGAGAGGGGAAGGGATTAATCTGGACTCGATGGGAGGACCCGGTGAAAGAGGGATCGATCGAGGGCCCGCTGGGGACCCCCGGACCCCCCACAAGTCGAATGGAAGGAGGGATAGTAACATGAAGGAGAATGGAATTGAAGCCAATACACACGGGAGGGATTGTGAAAACGATAGAGGAAAGGGTGAAATGAATGAGGGGGAAAGAATGGATCGATCAGAGGGGAAGGACGAAAGAACCACTCAGGGTGGATGATCCCTGATGAAGACATCCAGAGACCCCGCAACAATAAACAGGGAAAGAAGGCAAGGCGCTTACACGTGGGTAAAGACAAAACAGGCACCGCGCAGGAGCGCGTGTACCGAGGACCGGTTACGCGCTCGCGTAGCCGGATGCAGGCATGTGGGAATGGTATATAAACCCTCCCAAACACCGCCTCAGCAACCCTGATGATGTCGGGAGAGTCCGA